CCGTAGCTGATGAAGCAACAGCAAATTTGGTGTTGTGCGGCCGAAAACACCACTCCATGACGCGATTCAAGATTAGTTCCTCTCATCAGATAGAGACAGCAGGCATCGAACCCGGGAGCATTGAGATTTCTGTTGTGACTGCTACCCCTAAGCCACCGGGTCACGACGGAAAAGCTTGCCACAACGGTTAATGACAGAGTGGAGGGTCCATTTGAAGCACACGTTGTGTGGATGGATCTCGACTCGTAATCTTAATTTGGACCGCGATTCCCATTTTAGTGAACCTTGGTCGTTCGATCACTAGGACCGTAACTGATAAAGCAGAAGCAAATTGGGTGTTGACGCCTGAAAACACTGCACTCCATGACTCGTTTCCAGGTTATATCCTCCCAACAGATAGAGATAGCAGGCACCGAACCCGGGACTACATTGAGATTGTGCATGACAAGCCATCCACACCACGTGTACTTCAAATTGGCCCTCCACTCTGTCATTACCCGTTGTGGCAAATTTTTCCGTCTTGACCCGGTTGCCAAGGGGTAGCAGTCACAACTGAAATTCTAATGGCCCCGGGTTCGATGCCTTATATCTCTATCTGCTGAGAGGAAATAACCGTGAATCGCGTCATGAAGTGCAATGTTTTAAGGCGGGCGACACCTGATGGATTATAGTTTTTGCGCTATGGATACAGGCTGCTGCACTAGGGATGCAAGCGAATGCTTTAGGGATGCTATCGATTGAGAAATGATATAGAAGATAAGTACTTGAAGGGTTGGCATTGATGGGATAAAGGTGAAGCTGTAACGGGACAGTATAGGTGAAACAGCGTAAAGTTGGGAATAAAAGACGGAAAGGCTTGAGCAGTAGTATACAAAACCCTATCCACCTTGCACGTTGCCGTAGATAGGTTACCGTTTATTATTCTCTACGGCGGCCAAAGAATCAAGAAACTCCCTGTGAAACTGTTATAACCTTCTCACTAGACGCAATTCCAAAAATAACAATTTACTGCTCCACAAAACCCCTAGCCCAACCGAAAGAAAAAAGCAAAACGCCAATGACCTTGACAAAATAACGCATTAATCGCCGCCAACGAACACTGTACAACGACTGCGGACCTTGGCTGTATTTATAGGTCTCTACTGACCATCGACTTCTAGAATTGGAAGGTCAGCTGCCAAGGTTAGTGGTTCCCCATATCTTTTCCCGTGGTGTGAGGTGGCTTTTAATCACGTGCAGAAGAAGAACATTCCGGAACGTTCGAAATCGATGCGATGATCGTTAATAAGG